GTCTGTCTGACCTTTCACCCATTCGCTTTTGCTGTTAGTAGTGCTGATCCTGAATTGTAACCATTTTCCTCGTTGGTTTTTCTTCTAATCAGTTCATGCCGTGGTGAGGGTGGGCTGTTCTTTGACCAACTTCTAAATTTCCGTCATTCCGTGGAGCGGAGAGGACGAATAGCTACATATCCACCAACATCTCACAGGAACCTTTCTTGTGACTCTTGTAGTGGGGAAACATCTGGAATTATAACAAGCAAAAATATCCAGATATTCATGAGCCCTCATCTCAGTCGAGCCGAACTCGGGCCTCCTTTCCTGAGCAACAATTTGTGACTCTTTCACCCTCTGGTCAAAGAATATCCAGCAATTTTTTAATGCTTGCTCTGCTCCAGCTTAACGGCTGCGAAATTTCGTAAGATTTATGAGTAATGGTGACCCGTCCTTTTGGAAGTGGTCAGAAAATTCCGGAGCACTCTCCCGCCTCTGCCACAGAGCCCAGTCTTACTCGTTGTGGACGCGGAAGCTTCCAGGAGGCTGGGTTTATCGCGAAGCTATACTGCTCTTCACCACTTGTGGTCGCCAACCAGCTTCCACAACCGCTGGGGAACAGGCTGGCGCCAAACCCAGCCACCCTGAAACGTCCCGGCGTCCGCACCTAACAAGACTGTAGAGATTTATGTCTCTACTCTATGTACGTAATTTGATCCCTTTGTGGCACAATCTCCGATCATTGCTTTTATTCCCTTTGAAAGATACTTATTTCTGAGAAAACGGAGTATGGAATGGCTTAGCTATTGGCAAGGTAGCCACTCAGTTCCTTCATTGTTTAGCAGTAAAAGCGCGAAGGCTAGCTCGGAAGGAAGAGCTTTTCTCAACAGGAACAGCAGTCTACTGTAGTCACTTCAGCATTAAATCGGGGAGGTATTGGAGCAAATACCGCAGGCCTTACTCTACCTATAACGTCGCGCGTCATACCAGTCAGGTCCTGGGGCAAATGCCGCAGATCTGAGTCCACTCGGAATGTCACCTCTGCCAGGCTGGCGCCGCTCAGATCTCTTGACCTAAGCCTCCTCGGCTGAATTCGTCAGATAAACTGATTTTATCTCATCATTTTTCTATTTCATGTCATTCTTTTCTTCTGATATCGTTGCTAACGTCCCCTGTTGCCGCGCAACATATTGACCTCTGCAACGTACATGACTCATTTTAGGATGGAAGGTACGGCGGCAAAAAAAGCGCGAGTCTGGAACCCAGCAGTTGACAACGACGTTATCAAGGAAAAATTCCACTCCGATCAAGATCAGACATCGAATGACACTCCGGTCGATTTTTCTCGAGCAAGCAATCCCTCTCTACCACTGCTGATACAGGCAAGTTATATGTGAGTGCTCATAGTTTACAAATGTTCTCAAAACCAGTGAATGATTCGAGGTCTACCAGGGCGACAGTTAAGTACACAAACGCTATAAATTGCACATTCAGAAGCCATTACGTGAGCGCTTTTGGGCTTGTGAGGGGATATTGCATTCCCAATAGACCCTTTTTCAGACCATCTTAGCTGACAAATCTTAGTGGAACCTGTGACCCCTATGAAGTCGCAAAGTGGTAATGAGCTTACAGAAACCAACAGACAGACAAAGTGGCCTGAATGAGCTCCGCTGAATAACCTGGTTCTCACACCGAGCCGAACTGCACCGCTATTGCATTATCCTTCCACACGAGCCTGCGGTCATCAGAGTGTCCTTGCGGGACTCTGGCTAGAACCTAGCCCGCGGATGACGCTTAGTAAGCTCGAAAAACGGCGCCAGCTACCGCTAACTTGGTCCTAGTCTCCTATTCGGCCAAACAGCTTTGGTAAAGCGGTGAAAGAAGATCTTCTTGAGATATATCCCTGCTCTGAGATGCACCAAACAGCCGTCCCTTGTTCGGAAATGCCTTTGAACTATGAGCCGCTTCAGTCAAAGCTCAAACTACGCTTTGTTTTAGTAGAGGGTTCTGTGGATATAAAATATTGGAGTGTTCCATGCACTCCAATTTCAGAGTTTACATACACAAATAATACCTCCCTCATTGTTGTTATTTCAGAACTACTTCAACTTGGCACGTTTTCAACAGCAACGAGTCGTCGAAGAGGCAATTCGTCGTGGTTTGACACAGCCATTTCCAATGCAAGTCATGCCGATGATGGCACGACCTCCCGTCCTTCCTGCTATTATGCCTTCACCACAAGCTATTGGTGAGTTCATGATGTTTCATTCTAGAGGTTTGATTCCGTCAATATTTGACTGCTTTTACCGATTCCGAGCTAGTTATCCTGAGAAGCTAGTTGTCGCAAGGCGTGTAAAAAGCCTGGATACGAATAACGGGAGTCTATTGCTCTGGGTGGTGACCGAACGCCTTGTAACCTGCTCGATATATGTAAAATACGCTGGTGTAGGACTAAGATTGAGATTATTTTCTCACTCGTACCAGCCTTGGGAGGAGCTGTCAAGGACGTGGTACAAGTCTGTTATTCGGGGGTATTTGGAGGCACATTTCATACTAGTTGCCAGGGTAGAGCCATGCCCACACTGGCGCTTTCCGTACTAGCACGGTTCTAAGCTTAGGCTTTCATGAGGAGCGTTCAGGCACAGCTGCTGCCCCGTCTCCGCCCATACTATCATCTCGGACCGGGTCTTCACCAATTATCGGAGAACGTACTGGAGACTGACTTCTCTGCAAAAATAAATTTGGAAAACTTTTTTGGCTTACATGTTGCAATTTCAGCCTCGCTCATGCCGAGCTCGGTCGCTTCCACATCAGCAGCATCAACGGGCATCTCAGCCAATCCACTTGTACAGTCGGCCCTGGGAGTGACGGCAATGGCAAACGAAAACTGCTGTGCGATCTGTGGTTCAGCTTTCCGCCTCACGGCCGATCTTGTCCAACACATGCGAAATAATCACCGAAGAACACGTTTCAAACGTAAAAACGAGAAAGCCTTTGTATGACGTCCTAATGTATACGGATGGCGTCATATTTCGTGATCAATGGGTGATTTATTGAATGTGTTTTCAATTGTGAAGCATCAAAATTTCATTGTAGACACTCACTAGTATCGGCTGACATCTCCTTGGTCACCCGTTGGCGCTAGTAATCTTTGAGGGCCCTCCAAAGGACTCCTTGTGCAAGACTAGACATAGCCGTAGTGACAATGATGAGGAGTTTGCTTGGGCCTGTTGCAGCTCGGAGGTGGTTGCACCAAGTCGAAAAACGGTATTTTCATTTGGAGGACAGTAATCCCAGTTTGCACAAGGAGTTCTCTCAAGGTCTCAAGGGTATTAGCCCCTCCTGTTTGTTGAACGTCTTTACGAAGTTCATTATGTAGTGTTGGAATATCTATCAATCAATGCCCTGTGATAAATAATTTTAGTTGAAGTGCAATCCGTCAGTATTTATATTCACAGCTGCTACCCAATGACACGAGTATAGTAAAAAGTACTCCAGTCATCTTAGCTGGTTATGACGGAAACTCGTACAAAGGGACCCCAAAGTCGCGATATGGGCGGAGTCAGACCTATCATTCATTTATCATTGTTCCCCTCACCCGTTGCTCCACTTCTTTTCGGAGCAGTGCGCAAGGCATAACGGCATCCTCACCTCTATGACCAGCGTGGAATGAGCTTTAAGTCTGCTTTTTCAGATAAGAGCGGCAACATTTGATGGTGAAACTGGGGGGAGTGGTCAGGTGGCCATTAATTCCTTTAGTTGTTCTCTTCCCTAATGATCACCAAGTGAACCCCATTGGTGGAGCCGGTTACGGGCTTTTTCCTAGCCTCTCCTAACGCCACCCCGACTGATTGTGATGTTATCGACCATCCTAAGCGTTTTTCACAGCAAACGGATATAGCATTTATAATCATGGAATCAAATTACCGTGTGGAAGAGATCTTCAACAAAATCTTGCGCCAGGGGAATTCTGCCGCTAGCGGGTGGTGGTTTCGAATTAGGTTATTTGTCGTTGTTCGTGGGGTCAGGGAATTAATCCTCGGGGTAGCTTTGTCCTTGAAATCCGCCCCAAGATTTTGGTCTAAACCTTACACAAATTTCGAATAGCGAGGCAGCAACAGTAACTAATTGTTCGTAATAATTGATGCAGATTATTCTGCTAAATTCGCCCTCGTTTGATGTTCGATGTTTCTTTGGAAATGATGGTTTTGTCGGCAGCGCCCAAGATGTATTACTTTTACAGCTCAAAAATGCGTCAGGAGAGCCTTACACGCTTTGACCGCTCCAGCGAAGGCGACGCCCTGCCCGCTAGCCACCGCAACCCCCCTCCCCTCCCCCGCTTTCATTTCTAAGGGTTTTCTGGCGGTGTGGTTCCTCTGCTTATAACTCTCTCCATCCCGTATGAGGAGAGTGAAGACATAAGAGAGCTGGCACAAAAATTTAAAAGCTCTCGAGACCACGCTCTTTTACAGCACAGGGTTCTATATGGGCATTTCGGGCGGATTTTCGTGCTTTTCCCTCATTAAAGAACCATATCCCCTTTAGTCACAAGTATTCAAACTCACATGTGGTGCGTGCCTTCGAGACCTTGGCGTGCATAAGTGGAGGCCTAGTGAATGCAATCTTAGGCACAAGAACACAGAGTAGAGCGTATTACTCGCAGTTCCTCATTTCAAGCAAAATTTAGAGACAACATTTCAACCGAATCAGACAAAACATGTTTCAGAAGGATCACTTCCAACTGAGCTCAAATATGTTAGGCAACCAAAAAAGTTCGTGCGGTTTTTTTTGTTTACTTTTATGAAGTATATTCAGTAAACTGGATCTAGTGGTAGGGTAACTTTGAATACATGTTAAGACATATGTCAAGGAGTGTCATTCAGTGTATTTGTTAATTTAGATTACTTTCAATTAAGGCGAACAGAAAAAAGTTGTGGTTTTCCACCAGGACAATGCTAGACCACACACTGCAAGAATCACTCAGGAAACAATAGCGCGACTAGGATGGGAAATTCTACCTCACCCTCCGTACTCGCCAGACCTTGCTCCAAGTGACTATCATTTGTTTTTGGCCTTGGACAACCACATGAGGAATCGGCGATTTGAAAATGAAGTGGCTTTGGACAACGAACTAAAACATTTGGCAGCGTTCATACTTGTAGCGCTACAGCGTCGCGCTACTGCGTCGCGCTACAGCGTCGCGCTACAGCGTCGCGCTACAGCGTCGCGCTACAGCGTCGCGCTACAGCGTCGCGCTACAGCGTCGCGCTACAGCGTCGCGCTACAGCGTCGCGCTACAGCGTAGCGCTACAGCGTCGCTACAGCAACGCTACTACTGCAATTTCCAACGTTAGGATGATTAGAGTTGCTTACAGAGAAAAGTGGGAAGGTTGCTGGAGTTTTCTTGAGAAATTCACGGAAAGGTGAGACTACAGCTGTAACTATTAGGTTGGCTAATAAGTAATGGCGGTTTTTTTCAATTGAAAAATTTGTTCGAAAAGTGAAACGTTTTGCAAGCAAGTTATATATCATCTGATAGGAAACTTCTCGTAGTATAAGAATATCAAAAAGCTTTGGTTGAGGATATAGTTTTTGTGAATTTTTTAGTCGTTGAAGTTGGAAGTGAAGTCGGCGAAAATTAGCATCTTCGACAACTGCCTCTATTTAGAAATTTCATGCTAATAGTTGAATTAATTGAATTTGAATTTGATATTCTAATACTACGAGAAGTTTGCTATTAAACGATATTAAGCTTGCTTGCAAAACTTTTCACTTTTGAAACAAATTTTTCAATTGAAAAAAACGGCCATTACTTATTAGCCAGCCCACTAGCAGTTATTAGCCAGCCCACTAGCAGTGGGCTGGCTAATAAGTAATGGCCGTTTTTTTCAATCGAAAAATTTGTTTTAAAAGTGAAAAGTTTTGCAAGCAAGCTTAATATCGTTTAATAGCAAATTTCTCGTAGTATTAGAATATCAAATTCATTCAATTAATTCAACTATTAGCATGAAATTTCAGGTGGAACAGACGTGAGCCTGCCCAATATTGGCAAGGTGAAGGTTGCCAACTTTGAAATTCTTGAAATTAGTTCCTATTGGATTCCCTTAGACTTCTACCTCAACCTTTTCCGAATGTATGGAGCAGCTTAAGCGATTTTAGCACTTCGAGTAGACGTAAATAGAGGCAGTTGTCGAAGATGCTAATTTTCGCCGACTTCACTTCCAACTTCAACGACTAAAAAATTCACAAAAACTATATCCTCAACCAAAGCTTTTTTGATATTCTTATACTACGAGAAGTTTCCTATCAGATGATATATAACTTGCTTGCAAAACGTTTCACTTTTCGAACAAATTTTTCAATTGAAAAAAACCGCCATTACTTATTAGCCAACCTAATATCTGACCATCCTTGACAGTTACTCCATTAGTCACTATTTTCTGGTACTGCTTTTAGCGTAACAGTGTCCTTCTGTCCTATTAAGAGCATTTTCTGCAAAAAACACCCAAAGAGTACTCGCGCCACCTAAAAACACGCACGCATGTTTTTTTGGAGACACAAGAACCATAAAGGAACTTCTTGTTTGCATTGTGCTAACGCATTGGTGATCAGACAGTCTTCGCGTGCCTGTTGTGGAGATAAGGCCATTTTTTTCTGCTGCCGACAAATGCGACTCAATACTGATACTCCCCTAGGCCAAAAAAAGTACAAGAAACTGTCAGGCTTTGTTGGCTGTGAATGCCTCGAAAACCGGCATAAATCTTTTTCCTGTGATCCAGGCAGAGATTGGGGGCAATTAGAAGCAAAGAAAAACAAACATGGGAAAGGAATACACTCCACAACACAGATGATCCGTTTCTGAAAGCAGATTTCGCTCCATAATCGATAAGCGGCATTGGATTCTGTATTCATTCTTTCTGTATTCAACCCTCTTCTCTTTTTCTCATATTTATCTAATAGTGAGCTCCTGTTTTCTACTTTATCACATTTTAATGTAGTTTCGCAATCGGGATCAAAACGAGGCAGCACTGCAAGACATCAAGCAAAGCCATCAAACATCAAGCAACTGTGAAACCAAATAATTAAAGTCAAAAACGATAAATAAAACCAATTATCACAGTCTTCTGTATCAAAAACTACATTAAAATGTGATAAAGTAGAAAACAGGAGCTCACTATCAGATAAATATGAGAAACAAAGAGAAGAGGATGATATAGAAAGAAAAAACATAAAAGCTGGAGTTCGGTACAACTGTAGCGCTACGCTGTAGCGCGACACTTTGTGTCTAAATGGGAAAGTGTATTACTTGCTGAGGGTAATTATTTTACGGGATAAATCCAAGTTTAACCCGTTTTTTATGTTATTATTTCGCTACCTTCAAAACCGCACAAACTTTTTTGGTTGCCTAATAAAATCTACGCTGACTGTATAGACAGAGAAGTTGGCGGAGTCGGACCCTTCATTGACCGTCTTATTATGGTGCTCCTTTCACATCCGAACAGAGAGATGAGGCGCGCAAATGTGGAGAGGACAAGGGCATGCCGTCACCGCCCACATAGTTAAGGTGGACTGTGTTTCATCGCCAGACCAACCGCATTCAGTTCCATTGACGTTGAATTACTGTCGAGTAATTATTCCATCCGTCCTTTCCACTGGATTTCATCTAGAAACACGAAACGAAATACCCTAGTGCTGGCAAAAGAGGTACTCCTTTTGCCACAGACGCTAAAGCTTTCACGAGAGGGAGGCTGGGTTTGGCACCGCCTGTTTTCAGTCGGTTGTTGTTGCTTACCCGCGCAGCGCTTCGGCGACGAGCAAAAACGCGTCGACCCATCTGGAGAGCCATCGAGCTTACAAGGGCTCGCTCCAGCTTCACAAGAGTTCACAGGTTTCACCAAAATGAGAATTGTAAACCTGAACTACTGAAGCAGCAAAGTGCCAAATGCTCCCCCTCCCACCTCCCGTCACAGGACTGCGCCCTTACCCGCTTCAACAATCAAGCTAGCGCTGTACCAAGCCCACCCTTCCCTCTTCCTTCCCTGAGACGAGGCCCAGCATCTGCAGCAAGAAAGAGTAAAGTGTTACATACGTCTATTTGTCTGTTGATGTCTCTGAGTCGTTGTTTTTTCGCTTCAATATATCGTCGATAAATTAGGTATAACCAGGGTGAGCATGTTGAAAATCTAAAAAAGGGAAAGTTCAAACTGAGACGCTTAGTCAGTTTTTCTCGGGGGGGGGGGGGGGAGAAAATAGCAAGGGAAATCACACGGTGATCCGGTTAACTTCGGAACGCTGCCAACACATCTTTCTTCGTCTTCTCGGGCGAAAAGCTGTTCAGTGGAGTCCATTTCGAATTTTTGAAAGGATCATGCGTGATGTGCATCAGTTGGAGAAGCCGAAAGGGATAAGTCGAATTCATGGCGCTCAAGACTTACATCACTTGTACCGTAACTTCAAAAACTTTCCTGAAGTTACGGTATAAGTGTAGAAGGACTTTCGCTAATATCTCCAAGGTCATGCGAATGCGAGTTCTTTGAGACTTAGAAGGACTTGTTCTCTGAAGAGAATGGAAACTCATTTGAAGGCACATAGTACGCCCAGTACGCCCACACACATTGAGGGTGTATGTGACTATCAGCTCCCCCCCCCACCCCCCCCCCCCCAGCTGTCGATGTGTCGCGGTACCCCGCTCCGAATATGCCCAGGAATGGAGATACAGGACCGTGAAACATGGTAATTCCTCCATGCTCCGCATGGAGGAATTAGCGTGTTTTGTTTTGTTTTCCGCTCCTTCAACCATTGACAGTCCACCAATGCGATGAAAATCTGAGTCCATAGAAACGCCCTCCCCGGGTGTCGTCCATTCGTCTGTAAGGATGCAGGCCATTTGTCCTCCCGGGATGCCCTGATGCGAAATAAAAAAGAGCATTGCTCACTGCGACATCTTGTAGAAACTTAATGAGCATTTCAATGCTGCCAAATTTATCTGCAAAAGTAAGATGCACGGCGCACGATTCGAGAACCAGACCTTTTTCAGTTCCGCCATTGTTAGCGCGTGATTTCTGGTTCTCAATTGCAAATTCAAAATGTCACGACCACGGCAGGATTCGAACCTGCAATCTTCTGCTCCGTAGGCAGACGCGTTATCCATTGCGCCACGCGGCCACACCAGAAGTTTACCTGTCATGTGCATGATGTGCTCGAGTAGCAAGCAGCAACTGGATTCTTAGGCGCCCTTCTTGTAACGTTGGAGAACAGTCCAAGTACTATGTAGCCATAGGCTCGGATACTTTAAAGACACACGGTACGCTCAAACACATTGAGGGTGTATGAGACTATCAGCCCCCCCCCCCAGCTGTCGATGTGTCGTGGTCCCCCGCCCAAACATGCCCAGGAATGGAGGACCGTGAAACACGCTAATTCCTCCATGCTCCGCCTTACACCTTTTTGCGGCGCAGATTCCCGTCCTTCATAACATCCGTCGTAAGCGCGCGTGTCGCGTGCGGCTCCTTGGCACTTTGCCAAGTCCTTTAATTGCGCTCTCAAATGCAAAAACGCAATTTCCTGATGCGGATAGTGCTACAAAATAAGAACAGAAGATGATGACGAGAGCCAGAACTAACTAGGGAAGGTCGTCAGGTCGAAGTGGCCATTTGTAATGAGTGTAGCTCACTAGATGCGGTTTTGGACGCTGATCTCGAATCTGCCTTTGAAATAAAGCGATTCTCTGAACGGAGTTATGGAGCTTTTCCCTCCGCGTTTACCACGCAACAGGTCATGGGATCGGATCCCTGCTGAGCTTAACTTTTTTGCTTCCAGCGCAAACGTGGCAAAAAGTGGTTGTGGCGTCGCTTCTACATTAGCGCTCTCCTTGACTTGCCTGAAAAACAGTTTGCGTTCGCTTACTGGCGCGCTTAGTGCCTTATGTGCCCTAGTGCCTCTAGGAGAATTTTTGGATGTACAGGTGCCCTTGGCGCGCAGTGCAGGCGTTTTCGCGCTGAGCGAGTGCCATATTCGTGTTTATGGGGGCGAACTACGCCTAGGTAGAGGTTTCTAGCCAAATCTGGCATTTTGACCTGACTTCGAAAAGTGAAGCATCCATGGGTTAGTTCAGTTGATGTTCACACCTATTCAGCTGCAGATACATTCTCCTGCACAAACCTCGTCTTGCCACTTCTTACGCATTCATATTGTTACTGCTCCACTTTCCCTGGTATCTCAAAGCAAATTCCGTCCAAAGACAAGCAATCGACAAGAGACTGGCCCTGGAACTATTGGTGACCATCATTCGATCAACTGCTACCGCACTTTTCAAAGTTAGGTCAAAACCTCACATCTGGCTAGAAACCTGTCCCCAAGGGTAGTTTTGCTCCCTGAACACGAATATGGCACCCATTTGGCATTTGAGTGTTTTCTAGACTTAAAAGAGACATTCCCCACAAAATGCAAAAGAAGTTCCCTTCCAGAAATTCGAACCCTTCATGGCATGCCCACAAAGCAAGACCATTTCCACTACGCCATGCTACCATTGAACGTAAAGGTGCTTCCCGGCTATTCACGTTGACTGGCAACCGCGCTCGACTCTGTTTCCCTTCATTTTGAATCCAACAAACCTTCATAACTCCGTTCAGAGAATCGTTCTGCAAATTTCGAAAGCAGATTCGAGATCAGCGTCCAAAACCACGTCTAGCATTACAAATAGCATTGCTCACTGCGACATCTTGTAGAAACTTAATGAGCATTTCAATGCTGCCAAATTTACCTGCAAAAGTAAGATGCACGGCGCACGATTCGAGAACCAGACCTTTTTCAGTTCCGCCATTGTTAGCGCGTGATTTCTGGTTCTCAATTGCAAATTCAAAATGTCACGACCACGGCAGGATTCGAACCTGCAATCTTCTGCTCCGTAGGCAGACGCGTTATCCATTGCGCCACGCGGCCACACCAAAGTTTACCTGTCATGTGCATGATGTGCTCGAGTAGCAAGCAGCAACTGGATTCTTAGGCGCCCTTCTTGTAACGTTGGAGAACAGTCCAAGTACTATGTAGCCATAGGCTCGGATACTTTAAAGACACATGGTACGCTCATACACATTGAGGGTGTATGAGACTATCAGCCCCCCAGCTGTCGATGTGTCGTGGTCCCCCCGCCCAAACATGCCCAGGAATGGAGGACCGTGAAACACGCTAATTCCTCCATGCTCCGCCTTACACCTTTTTGCGGCGCAGATTCCCGTCCTTCATAACATCCGTCGTAAGCGCGCGTGTCGCGTGCGGCTCCTTGGCACTTTGCCAAGTCCTTTAATTGCGCTCTCAAATACAAGTAAAACGCAATTTCCTGATGCGGATAGTGCTACAAAATAAGAACAGAAGATGATGACGAGAGCCAGAACTAACTAGGGAAGGTCGTCAGGTCGAAGTGGCCATTTGTAATGAGATGTAGCTCACTAGACGTGGTTTTGGACGCTGATCTCGAATCTGCCTTTGAAAAAAGCGATTCTCTGAACGGAGTTATGGAGCTTTTCCCTCCGCGTTTACCACGCAACAGGTCATGGGATCGGATCCCTGCTGAGCTTAACTTTTTTGCTTGCGCAAACGTGGCAAAAAGTGGTTGTGGCGTCACTACTACATTAGCGCTCTCCTTGACTTGCCTGAAAAACAGTTTGCGTTCACTTAGTGGCGCGCTTAGTGCCTTATGATCTAGGAAGAATTTTTGAATGTACAGGTGCCCTTGGCGCGCAGTGCAGGCGTTTTCGCGCTGAGCGAGTGCCATATTCGTGTTTATGGGGGCGAACTACGCCTAGGTAGAGGTTTCTAGCCAAATCTGGCATTTTGACCTGACTTCGAAAAGTGAAGCATCCATGGGTTAGTTCAGTTGATGTTCACACCTATTCAGCTGCAGATACATTCTCCTGCACAAAGCCTCGTCTTGCCACTTCTTACGCATTCATTTGTTACTGCTCCAGTTTTCCTGGTATCTAAAAGCAAATTCCGTCCAAAGACAAGCAATCGACAAGAGACTGGCCCTGGAACTATTGGTGACCATCATTCGATCAACTGCTACCGCACTTTTCAAAGTTAGGTCAAAACCTCACATCTGGCTAGAAACCTGTCCCCAAGGGTAGTTTTGCTCCCTGAACACGAATATGGCACCCATTTGGCGTTTGAGTGTTTTCTAGACTTAAAAGAGACATTCCCCACAAAATGCAAAAGAAGTTCCCTTCCAGAAATTCGAACCCTTCATGGCATGCCCACGAAGCAAGACCATTTCCACTACGCCATGCTGCCGTTGAACGTAAAGGTGCTTCCCGGCTATTCACGTTGACTGGCAACCGCGCTCGACTCTGTTTCCCTTCATTTTAATTCTAACAAACCTTCATAATTCCGTTCAGAGAATCGTTCTGCAAATTTCGAAGGCAGATTCGAGATCAGCGTCCAAAACCACGTCTAGTCATTACAAATGGCCACTTCGACCTGACGACTTCCCTAGTAAAAGCAACTCGGCTGCATCTGCAGTATCCATCAGAGGCCGCGCATTCCCACAAAACATGAGAATAAAAACAACCCAAGCGTCCCACTCGTTTGTTCTAAGTATTTCTATGGCTTTGGCGCCGGATTCGCGCCGGATCGTAGAAATTTACAGGCGATTTTAACTAATTTGCCTTTCCTTGATTTTTTCATTTTTGTTTTGTTTACATTTACATCGTTGTGCTTCATTTCTAGCCTGTGTCATCTTCATCTCCTTGTACATGGATTTTGAAGCATGAGCAACACCTAAAATTTTATTCGCATCAGGAAATTGCGTTTTGCTTGTATCAAACTAACGAGTATGCCGTTTTTATTTTCATTTTCATGTTTTGTCTCCGGGGGGGAGAAAATAGCAACGCGGAAAGTCACACGGGTGATGCTGGTTAGCAGTTCGGACGGACCTGCAGCGTGGCCCGGCGCCCCACCGACATCTGGTGTCGTTGACGTCTCTTCGCGGCGAAAAGCTGTTCGAGGTGGCCGTCCATTATCGGAACTTCTTTGAAAGGATCCAATGCTGAATGTGTATCAGTTTGGGAGACCCCGCGAAGGGACTAAGTCGAATTCATGGGCGCGCAAGGACTTACATCACTCTGTGCGCCGGTAAACTTTCAAAACTTCCTGAAGTTACGCGGTCTAAGTGGTAGGAAGGACTATTCGCTAATATCGTGCCAAGTGCATAGCGAATAGCGAGTGTCTTTGAGACGTTTAGAAGGGACTGATCGTTGCTCTGAAGGAGAATCGCACTCATTTTGAAGTGCACAAGTAACGCCAGTAAAGCGCCCACGCCACCATTTGAGGTGTATTGATATCAGGCTCCCCGCCGCCTACGCCCCCCCGCCCCGCATCTGTCGAATGTGTCGCGTACAGCGGCGCTCGAATAGCGGCAGGACATGAGAAGTAAAGCGGGTAGAGATGTGAAAGCATGGTAATCGCCTCGCAATGCTCTCAATGCGAGGAATTAGCGTGGTTTTGTTTTTTTTTCCGCTCTGCTTCAACCTATGAGCAGGTGCCACGCAGTGTAGCGATGAGACAATCTGAGTCCATAGAACGCCCTCCCCGGGTGTCCGTCCATTTCGGTCTGTAAGCCTGCAGGCCCAATTTGTCCCCTGCGCCGGCCGGGATGCCCTGATTGGCGAAATTATAAAAAAGAGCATTGCTCACTGCGACATCTTGTAGAAACTTAATGAGCATTTCAATGCTGCCAAATTTACCTGCAAAAGTAAGATGCACGGCGCACGATTCGAGAACCAGACCTTTTTCAGTTCCGCCATTGTTAGCGCGTGATTTCTGGTTCTCAATTGCAAATTCAAAATGTCACGACCACGGCAGGATTCGAACCTGCAATCTTCCATGCTGCCGTCTCAGTTTGAACTTTCCCTTTTTTAGATTTTCAACATACTCACCCTGGTAATACCTAATTTATCGACGATATATTTTATTAAAGCGAAAAAACAACGACTCAGAGACATCAACAGACAAATAGACGTATGTAACACTTTACTCTTTCTTGCTGCAGATGCTGGGCCTCGTCTCAGGGAAGGAAGAGGGAAGGGTGGGCTTGGTACAGCGCTAGCTTGATTGTTGAAGCGGGTAAGGGCGCAGTCCTGTGACGGGAGGTGGGGGGGGCATTTGGCACTTCGCTGCTTCAGTAGTTCAGGTTTACAATTCTCATTTTGGTGAAACCTGTGAACTCTTGTGAAGCTGGAGCGACCCCTGTAAGCTCGATGGCTCTCCAGATTGGTCGACGCGTTTTTGGAAAGCAACCAAAGTGCAAAACGCCCCTTTCCTCGTCGCCGAAGTGCTGCGCGGGTAAGCAACAATAACCGACTGAAAACAGGCGGTGCCAAACCCAGCCGACAGTCTACTGCCTTGGAGACCCATAGGGTCCAAATCCAAACGGAGAAGATTTTGGAGTCGGTTGAGGTCTTGGCGCGAGAGGCACAAACCTCCGCGCGAAAAACGCTCGAGGCATTCTGGATCCAGGTCATCGATCCAAAAATGAACCGGAGGGAAGAGTGCCTCACTATCACGCGGGAACTGAGGCCCTATATAAGGTTGGCCTTCCAGATTGTTTTATGACCTGATTTATGGTCGAACTTCAGTAGGGCTGCGGAGATATTTGTTAGGATAGTCACAAAACGTTTCGATCCTTTCAGGCACTGATGAATGTTTCGCCGAAACGGCGTAAGCCGAAGTTAAGTGGTGTATCAACCTCGCGAGCGTTTCTACAGAGTAAAGTCTACAGTACTACAACTATGCCCGGGTTTATTGAGAGCCATACGTGGCGACTACTAATTTTTGCTTCATGAAATGAAACA